CGTGCACGCTTCGTGAAGCGGTCGACGACGACCAGGATAGCATCATGACCGCGAGGGGTCGGAGGACGAAGGGGACCGATGAAGTCCATCAAGATGGACTGCCAACGACCCTTAGGGATAGGAAGAGGCTGGAGCAAACCATAAGGCAAGTGGTTCCCACTGTTCACCTCCTGACAGGTGGGACACTCTGCGACGTAGTCCTTCACAAAATCCTTGCGCTTCGGCCAGACGTACAGGCGGCTCACACGAGCCAACGTCTTGTGGAAGCCCATATGACCGGCGGCTGCCTGGTCATTGAACTCTGCTACTGCTCGGATACGTTGTGAGGAAACCCGGGAAGGGGTCGCCCGTTGATCGCTGAAGCCAAAGGCAACAGCGCCTGTCACTCGCTGCGCCCACTTCCGAGGTCCTCAGCGACCAGCGGGGTGTACGGGGTTTGGAACGCCCGTTTCGTTGCGTCTCAAGGACGCAAAGAAAGACAGTTTTTGTGAGCCTCAAACACACTTGATCCCAGCGACTCACAAAACAAACCGCAATTCGATACAAGACCTTATTCACTGTAATTAGTAACAAACGACTGGAAGTGAATTCAAGACACTATTTACCGAGATCAGCAAACTCAGCAGTTCCGAAACAAAAGTCTTCTTCAACGAAAACGACACCAAGCAAAAACAAGCCGCGTTCATTGAGATCAAGTCACACATCGTCAAGTGAAAACGTGCGCCTACTTATCATGATCAGCGGGACCAGTCACAAATAGAAACAAGTGCCTACTCATCATTATCAGCGAGAGCAGCAGCGAAACAGGACAAAGCCTGATTCGATGAGATGGAAGGAGGTAGTCTCACGTCAGCTCAAACTCTGTTCACGATATAGAAAATAAACAAATAAAAAGGGAGAAAGTTTAGCTACCGTCTTCGTCTCTATCCGTCCTTTGCCGTAAGCTCTCTCTTTTTAATTTTTTATCTCACTCCCCCCTTACCCTCTACGAAGCTGCGACTCTTTCTTGGTTTCACCCACATCTGTTTCACTTCAGATTCAACGTACCTGTCTCATATCATATCTGCAGAGAACCGACAAAGTCTCCCCCTGTGTAAAGTACCATACACTCAAAGGGCTATTCGCTCACATCCCTGAAGGTGCTGACACCTTTCAGAAATGAAAGCAAATTTCAACTGATGCCCCTCAAAGTGGAAAGATCTGCCAATCAGACAACAGCCTGTCGTAGACTCGTATGCCCTTTGTCACTGCTGATCGTTTTCTTAAAAAAAAAAGGGCGGCCCCTTCAACAACGGAAGTAGCTGGAGTTCTCCGCTCCAAGAGTGGTTGATCCCCAATGACGCCTTTCTCAGGATCAGTTGTTCATACCAGTGGCAGATACGTTCGGTTCTCTCATCAATGACTGTTCTCGTGTGTCTGTTCTCACCAAAAGCGGTAGATCCAGAAAGAACAATTTTTACATCAACGTGATTGAATGATACAGCTAGTGATCAACGTATTTGTTCTCCATGTCAACAAAACTGAATGGAACCGCCAGCGGCTATAGCGATCATCTTTTTAACATTAAGACTGCATGATACAAGTAGCGGCGTAAATAACTGATCTTCGCTTTAGGAAGATCGGTCGATACCGCCAATAGCAATAACAAATCAGTCTTTCCCGTGGACAGCGGGAACATTTTTTTTTTCCCCCTTACCTACGGGAGAGTGGTCGCTTCATCAGCGATCATGGTTAGCTCACCGTGGCATTTCTCAGACCCGAATCCGAATGTACTTGGACGTGAACAAGCCCAGAAGCACGAACTAATAAAGGTCAAAATTCAGTCCGCCCCCTTTACGCCGACATCTTTCCTCACTCCCCGTGGTCCTCACTTTCGCTCTTCCTCACCGACCCCATGCAGATCGAGCTCAAGTATCTAAACGTTCCCACGTGCTTTCGAGGGCAGGTTTATGATCACAGTTGTGCAGCAATTGAACGGGATGATCAAGCTCAAGTATCCGAATGTACCCGCCCGCTTTCGAGGACAGATTTTTCACTGCATTTAATTGCGCAGATCATGCATGCATCCGCCCGCTTTTAAGGGCAGATTGGCGCTCTCAGTCACACAACGAAGAGGCAGGCAGATCAAGCCCAGAAAATCGAATGTATCTGCCCGTTTTCGAGGACGGATTCGTAGGTGACAATCGCGCAACGTTTCCTTATCCACTCTTAGGTGAAGTTTGCTCCCCCCCTTCCTGCCTCGAATACCGTCTATGGGGTTGTCCGCGTGGTTGAACCTCCTCCGCCTTCAGAACGCCTGGCACCCGATCTCTCTGCCTTCCCCTCACACCCGATATGCGCGTATTCCCTCTTGGTCCACCCTGATGCCTTCAGCCCGTTTTAAGCCGTCTCCCATCTGTTGAGCGAGTGTGGATTCCTTACACCTCGCTCACCATACCTCCCAACCAGGTCGAATACAGACGGCAATGTGGGCCGCGAACGCCTGGCGCGTCCCCTGCTATTCTCAGTCCGTGTCTCCCCCTCGACGCAGCTCGTCGCCTTCCTCTATACCAAATCGAGTTGTTCCGTTGGATGGGGGGGGGGCAGCGTACGCCTAGCATGCATCTGTCCGCTTGCCAACTGTCTTCTCCCGTTGCATGTCCCCCCCACACCGTGCATGCTTCCCTCACTTGTCACTCCCTTCTCACGCGGAGTAACCGCTCGAGCGTCCAGGCGTCTGCCCCATGCTCGCTGTCGTGGGAACACCTTGTTCGCCCCCAGCTCTCCCCTCACTCTCGGCGTAACCCTCTCACCCTGATGCCCCCACCCTGAGCTTACTTGCTCTCCGCAACAGCTTGACGCCGGGCACACCTGGCATGCGATCCCCTTCCCTTCACTGTTCTCCCCTATATCCGCTTCAGTCCCATGGTCTGACCGACCAGGGCCTTCTCGGAGTGCAAGTGTGCAGGAAATAGTCCGCCGCGCCACGGAGGAAAAGGAAAATAAAGGTACCGGTCTCACAGGCTCGACGTACCGTACCTGAAACATGTCGAACACGGCAAGATGCAGTGGCGCGGTAATAGTACCGAACTTGAAGTAAACTGTCGCAATGATCCCGGACCTGAGAATAAGCTGCCACAATGGTACCGAACCTGGAATAAACTGCCGCCAAGGTCTTGAATCTGAAATGAACTACCGCAGTCGTCCCAGACCTGAAAATAAATCACCGTAGAGGTTTCGAACGTGAAATAAACCGTCACAGTGGTCCCGGTCCTGAAAATAAGTTACCCCAAAGGTTCCAAACCTGAAACGAAACACCGCGATGCCACCGAACCTGACCAAACTCGAAATCCAGCACCGGGCTGTTGTGCCATGCGGATGCCGAGCCCGTACAATCATGCCATGATAACCTGTCCCGAACCTGATATAGAATGCCGCAACGTTTCCGGACCTGAAAACAAACTACCGCCTGGAATAACTGTCGTAATGGCCCCGGTCCTGAGAATAAATCACTGCAGCTGTCCCAAACCTGAAAATAAGTCACCGTAGTGAGACAGCTGTCACCGGGCCCATACTGTACCTGAAGCACGTCAGACACCGTAGGATGCAGCCACTCTGTAACGACCCTCGTATCCGTACCGAACCAAACACCATAGTCGACCCAAGGCAGCACCACCCCATGCTGTCCATGCGACTCCTGCTCTCAGAACATATCAACCGCGGTAATGTTAGTAATCAAGCACACCAGGGAAAGCGTCGCAGGAAACCTCGACCATCAGCAGTAGTGTTTACTTGTTAAAATCCGGGGAAAATGATCAATCCGGAGTTAGAGCTGATGGCGGGTAATCGAGGCGAAATTAGGCCAATCTCCCAATGGTCATGGGTTCCCGTCCCTTCCATCGTTTTTCATCATTTTTCCCTTTCCTTAATTCTATTGCCGGAAATAATAAATTAACTGTAAGTTCCCCAAAATTAAATTCCGAGAAAATTTAAATAAATGGCCGCATTCCTTTTGTTTCTTTTCTCTTTTACCATTTTTAATCTTTTTCTATGTTTTTAATTTCRTTGCCGGGAACATAAAATAACAAGGGTATTCCCGCTTGAATTTAATGCCATTAAAAATAAAGGAATTAAGGGATATTATGTTTTTCCCTTCTCCCCTACTGGTCTTATTCCCTCTTCCCATATTTAATTACGGTACTAAAAATAGACAAAAATTTGAGGCCCCATTTCGCCCCGGTCATATACTGCAAAAACGTTGCGGCGAGGTCAACTCCCTTGATGCCTCTCCGCGGTAGGCCAATGCGGGTCTAACCCTCTAAACGGTCAGAAATGACAGTCCCTAGACATGTCGAGTGCGGCCACCCATCTCGCCATCTTTGAGGGTTACTCATAAGGCTCAGTGCGTCCAAAATCAGGGGTGCCCTGAGTTCCCTTAATTTTTGCTGCCTGGTCATACGGGACTACCATCAAAACACGGATTTGTCCCTAAGCCTAAGTCCCAAAACTGCAGATCTCAGGCGGCGCACTGCTTGTGGCCGCCTGACAACGTAGCTGTCCAGTGGAGGGAACGCAAATACGGGGCTCTCTGGTGCCCTGTGAACCGTGCCAGTACACAAGACCGTTGTCCCCGAGAGAGTAGTTCGGGACAGTCTTACCGCTCTGAAGGGTCGCGTGGATGTCGCGATAGTCGGGGCAGTGGCGGTACTGAGTGCGAAACTCGTCGATCACCGAGTGGTGGACAGCGGTGACCGAGATGGAAGAGAGCTGGATGTGCTCCTGGTCGTGGTTAGGGCGTCGGGATAAGGCATCTGCGACCCGATTAGTCTCACCCTTGATGTGCTCAGTGGTGAAACTAAACTCGGATAGGTCGCGCCACCAGCGAGCCTGTCGAGGAGTGAGCTTCGGCTTTGTCAGAAAAGCCTGGACAACAGAGTTGTCTGTGCGCACTGTGAATGGTGCCCCGTGCAGGTAGTGACGCCAGTGCCGAGCGGCATAAACTACTGCGATAACCTCACGTTCATCAACAGTGTAGTTTATCTCGGCGAGCAGGAGCTGACGGGAGTAGAAGGCTATCGGACAATCACCTTAGCGAGACTCGACAGTGCCGTCCTCGGCGATGGTAGGAGAATGGTCAATAGAGGGCTCGTCAGTAGCTGGACGAGTAGACGAGTAGGCGTCAGTCAATAGAATGGTCAAGTGAGGGGTAAGTGGTGGGAAGTAAGGGATACGAGGATGAGAGGAATCAGGAGAGGAGGGGAAGACCTGAGAAAGCACTGCTCCTACAACAAAGTCTGACGCATCGGTGGTAAGGATAAAAGGGCGATCAAAATCGGGTAGGTGAAGAACCGGTGCGCATGTCACCGCCTTCTTGAGGGCGTGGAAGGCGTCCTCGTGGAGGGGTGTCCATGCCAAGGGTGGGTTCTTCCGGAGGAGGGTGGAGGTAAGGACGTAGGAATACCTAGCGTATCCCCGGATGAAGTTACTATAGTAGCTGGTCAGGCCTAGGAAGCTACGAAGCTGCTTGGCGGATGTGGGGGCGGGCCACTCCGCAATAGCAGTGATCTTCGCGTCGTCCATGTAGAGACCCTGGTCAGACACGTAGTGTCCTAAGAAATTTACTTTGTGCTGGGCAAAGCGGCACTTGCTCAGCTTGGCGTAGAAGCCATGTCTGCGCAAGCAGTCAAGGACGTCGCGGAGGTGTCTGAGGTGCTCCTCAAGGGTACGACTGTAGACCAGGATATCGTCGAGGTAGACGAGAACGTACTGCTCCAGGATGTCCCTGAAGATGTCGTTCATCGCCCTCTGAAAGGTGGCGGGTGCATTGGTGAGGCCGAATGGCATCACTGTGAACTCGTAGTGGCCGAATCGCGATCGGAACGCAGTCTTCGGCTGGTCGGCTGCAGCAACGAGAATCTGATGGTAACCGCTACGAAGATCAATCTTTGTAAAGAAGCGGTTGCCTGCTAGGCGGTCGAACAGCTCATCGGAACGAGGCATGGGGTAGCTGTTCTTAACCGTGTAGCGGTTGAGACCGCGATAGTCGATGCAGAGACAGAGAGTTCCATCCGCTTTGCGAGCAAAGAGGACGGGTGCACCCCACGGGGAGTTGCTGGGTTTAATGAAACCCAGTCTCAGGAGCTCCTCAAGCTGACGCTTGAGTTTGGTGGCCTCGGGGATCGAGAGTCTGTAGGGTGCCTGGTGGTGAACACAATAGTCAGCCACAAGCTGAATGGAGTGCTCGACGTCACGCATCGGTGGGATGCCGGCGTACGAGAACGACGATGGGAAAACGTCGTGGTACTCTCGGATGAGGTCACGAACTGCGGGCTCCAGGTTAGCCATATATTGTGCGAGTTCCTCAGCGTCAACGTCAGCGCGCGACGGCGGGGTGGACTCGACGGACGGCGGAGGGACAGAAGTAGAGATGGGAGCCATGGAGATAGAGGGAGGATCTGGCTCCAGAGGGATGAGCTCGGCGTCGGGACAGAGTGGATCATAGTGTAAGAGATCCGTCACGTCCACCATAAAGAAGGTGACGTCGTCCTGTCGAATGAAGTGAGCGAATTGCCGAGGCGAGGTGACAGTGATAGATGGAGATAGTGTGGGCACTGAAGGCTCCGGGGGAGGAGGATCGGGGCATGGTGTCGCAGTGGTACCTATGAAAGGTACGCGATACGTCTGTCCACA